TCCGGTTCCAGCACACACGGCTGGGTCGTGTCCAGCCTCTCAGCCAGCAGCACCCCCAAGCCCTTCTGGGCAGGGCTGTTCTGGATCTGTCCATCCCCAGCCTCTGCTGATACCACGGGTTGTCCCAGCCAGGTGCAGCACCTTGCACTTGGTGTTGTTAAAACTCCTTGAGATACCCATGGGCACAGTTCTTGGGCTTGTCCAGGTCCCTCTGGATGGCATCCCATCCTTCAGGTTTGTCAACCACACCACTCAGCTTGGTGTCACTTGCAAACTTGCTGAGGCTGCACTCAATCCCTCTGTCTACATCAATGAAGAAGATAGTAAATAACACAGTTTACAGATCCCTAAGGGACACCACTTGTTACTGATGTCCCTTGGTCCCTGAGCTGTTGACTACTACCCTCTGGATGAGACTAGCCTCTCAGCCAGCAGCACCCCCAAGCCCTTCTGGGCAGGGCTGTTCTGGATCTGTCCATCCCCAGCCTCTGCTGATACCACGGGTTGTCCCAGCCAGGTGCAGCACCTTGCACTTGGTGTTGTTAAAACTCCTTGAGATACCCATGGGCACAGTTCTTGGGCTTGTCCAGGTCCCTCTGGATGGCATCCCATCCTTCAGGTTTGTCAACCACACCACTCAGCTTGGTGTCACTTGCAAACTTGCTGAGGCTGCACTCAATCCCTCTGTCTACATCAATGAAGAAGATAGTAAATAACACAGTTTACAGATCCCTAAGGGACACCACTTGTTACTGATGTCCCTTGGTCCCTGAGCTGTTGACTACTACCCTCTGGATGAGACTATCCAACCAATTTCTTATCCATTTAACAGTCCAGCCAGCAAATCCTTCTCTCTCCAATTTAAAGAGAAGGATGTTGGGGAGAACCATGTCAAAAGTGCAGATAAATGACATCTGTAGCTTCCCTAGTTCACTGATGGAGTCACTCCAATATAGAAGGCCATTTATCAGGCAGGACCTGCCCTGGGTGAAGTCGTGCTGGCTGTCTCAAGTCACCTTCCTGTCCTCAATATGCCCTAGCATGGCATCTAGGAGGACCTGTTCCATGACCTTCTCAGGCACAGAAGTGAGGTCAGAAGTTGGTAGCTTCCAGGATCCTCCCTTCTATCCTTTTTACAGGTGGGCACAATCCTTCCCCTTTTCCAGTCATCTGAGTCACATCTTACTCTTCCCAAAGATTACCTTGTTTCTAAGATAAGCTAGAAAAGTATAATTATTTAAAGGAGAAAATAAGAACATGAAGAAAGGTGAGAACTCACCTATAAATAGAGGAAATCAATCTCTAGTCAACATTCTTTGACCAAAGATGCCAAGGTTAATGTTTAAACTGACACATGACAGGGAAATACACACCTATTAAGGCCCTTAAGAAGTCCCTGGGGACTGCAAAATGAGGTTTGAAAGATAACAGCCTCATGATTAAAATCACGTGCAAGGGTTGCAAAGATAATAAAATAGTGAGAAATGAGGAAGAAACAGACAAAATTATAAAGGCAGAAAACAAAGAGTGACATTAGAAGGAGATTAGACACAGCTGAGACCACGTTACAGGAATAATCCTTGTCCATGGAAGACAGCTGAACCAGTGCTACTGGTTCATTAATCAGATAAATACCTCCCATACCTCCCACACCTCAGAAGACAACTCATTGCACCTCTCTGTGTTTCAGTAGTACTGAACTCTCATTTCCTCCCATCTCAGACATGTTTCTAGGGGAATTGCTGCATTTCCTGGGCGTGCTCTAGTATCTCTTTTCTATTTTCAGGAAATTTTATTCAGCATAACATACTACAATATGTTATATCACAGCCTGGATTCCACTTTTCTGATCCCTTCTATCCCCTCCTCAGCATAGCTCACTGAGTGAAATGAAAAGCATTTTCCTCTTACTGCAAGCTAAATTATATATTCACCCCTCTATCAAAAAAGAAACGTTCCCTTTTAGTCACAACAGATATCAATTGTCAACCTCACCTCATGCCACCCTTTTGAAAAGTGAGGGAGGAAAAATGTTTAAATGACAAGGCAAAAACAAGTATGAGAACTCATGTCAAAGCTGGGAATATCCTGAAGTTCAGATAAGCCTTTGCTGTAAGAACATGAAATAAATCCACAGTGGGGGGAACATAGAGAAAAACAACCTGGGGTTTACTGCTTTGTCACCATCAGGAAGTGAGAAAATGCTCATAGCCACCAAACCAGCTCCCTGTGAAACATCCAGACACTACACCTTCACAAGGATGGCTTTTATTGCTCCACCTGTGAAAATTCATTTCCTTCTGTGCAGAGACATGCACAGACTATGTGTGGGGTACATGCACAAACTATGTCAGACACAGAGGAAGACACAACAGATGCACAACGAAAGAGACAGAAAAACAGTCCATATACATCATTGCCTGTTTTACTCTAGAAACCTAAGTAACAGGTTTGTTATAAGCTGGAAAGGGAAGATGTTTGTGTTATACATTGGGCAAGATTCTCCATAGGATGAATTAGCAAATTTTTAAGAGGTCTTCAAATGCACATTGAGTTGATTACAAGTTTCTTACTGAATTGCTTAAAAGATAAAGTCTGATAGGCTGATAATCTATAAAAACAGAACTAGAAAGATGTATTATTATCACAGTTTTACTACAGATATCACTTTGATCAACTCATTTAAGATCATTTCCTTCTACAGAAAATGAGGGGGTCACCACACCCAGCTTATGAATGTATGGGAGAATCTGGCATCTGCTAAGCACTTATGGGACCACCAGGTCAGTGTTATAAGGCTGCACAAATGCATTCTTCAGCTTAATCACTGCTCAGAGAGAGCTGTAAGGAAGCCCCCCCTTAGCACCCAGTCGTACTTGGGTTACTGTCAAAGACAATCCATTCCTGCACTTTCTACTGTAACCAAATGGAATAGAAAAAAACAAAACTGTGAATTTAGCTTTTGAATTTAGCTTTTGAAAAGTTAATTCAGATTTAGCTTTTGAATTAACACAAAACCAATCAGTATTTTCAAGTCAAGATTTGAAGGCATCAGCTATTACTGTTTGAAACAAGCAACTAATCACAAGATATGTCAGCATCTTGACTATATCCTGCTCCATAAGCTTCTATAGGGGACAAACATGAAATAAACAAGAGTCTAATACTACTGGAGAATTCTCAGTTTTCTTTGCCCAAACATCCAGAAAACCAAATCAGCTCCCTAATAACCTAGTGGAGAGGAACAGAAGAAACAGAAAGCAGAGTTGCAAACATGGTCTTATCATCCCCTTAAGAGGAATGCAGAAGCACTGTTATTGCACTCCAAGGACAACAGGATCAAGCCTTGCCTCAGCACAGACCTGCCCACTTTCACAAATAAACAATCATTTCCACAAGAATAAATAAGAAGATTTATACAGAAGTAACTAGGAGTAGAACTGGACCCCCAGACATCTGGAACCCTTATACTCCCACTGCTGTATCTTTCACAATAACCACCACTGAAAGAAAAATAAGGGCTGTTTAATGCACTGTTGTTTTACATGACAACTAAATCCAGTATATTTCTCAGCTTACAGAGCTTATCTTTGAAGTTTTCTTTTTAGGAGGTTAAAATGCATAATGTTTACGCCCCAAAAAATTAAAAGTTACTGAAGTCTAATATTTTTTTAATTGCATACTTCTTGTCCCCTAAAATGAAACCTTGTCTAGCAACCAAACAGAACCTGAAACTAGACTTTCATGTAATTCTTACAATGATCTGAAGGTGCCCTATACATGGCTCCCATCTACTAAATTCCTTTATCTAACTATAGGCACACTGGTTTCTTAATCCTTTAAAGGCTGTCACATAAGCTTTTGGTCAGATAAGGGCTCTGAGTTAAAATATCACATTGGACACAAGGAATTTACTTTTAAGACACTAAATGACATATTTCAGATCCCATCGAGTCATTAAAGTAAGTTAGAGGTGCTAAGTCCTAGCTTCCTCCTGAAAAATTTCACAGATAACCAATTAGCTTACCTTCCCAAAGCTTTCTCAAGAGACACCCCCAAGCATCTGATTTCCTGGGCTGGGGACAAGAATCACCCACAATTCAGTATGACCTTGGCAAACTGGGGCAAGCAGGGACAGTGGTGTGTCAAGATCTGCAAATGAAGTGTAACCCAACATAAACAGCTATCTTCAGCTAACACAGTAGTCACAAAATTGTATTGCCTTACTCCCAGCACACATAAAAGCTATTTCTATTCAGGCTTTTTAATACTGCTTACTGAAATAATGTCATTACTATTTTGTGAAACACTACAGTGCTGTGATTCATGCCCCCAAGGCTTTCAGCTCCTTCCACTGACTTGACAGGAAATGTGGACACCTCAGGTCAGAAGATAATCAGGTGCCTAAGCAGAGAGCATAACTCACAAGTCAATGCAGAACTGACGTAAAAGATGCTAGTTTTCAGCCCAGACTCAACCACAAACACAACCTGTGTCTAAGTGCAGGTTAATTAACAACTCTGCAAGGTACAGCTGATCACCTATGGCAAATCCTTAATCTTTTATTTGGATATTTAAGCAATAGATTATAAACTGTAACTGTGTCTCTGCATCTAAGAAACACGTTACCTAGCCCTATAGTTACATACTAAAGGAATATCTGAAGCCTTACTAAATACATAGGAAACAGAAACATTAAAGCAACTCTATGGGACAAAGCTTGCTTGCCTGCTCTGTTCAAGTTCCAGTCAAGTCAGCTATAGCCTTTAGCTTCCACAGGAGTTAAATTAAATCAGAATCTTCAAAGCAAACACTTCCATCGTGAATTTCTGTATGAACATTTCAGGCCCTGGTAAACTGTAAGTCATACAAATGCCCTAACTTACAGCAAATGCAGTCTGATGTTATAGTCAAACTAGTCAATTGCCCAGAAAAAGAAACATGAAAACATGTAAAGATTCAGTCTTGGTTACATTTTTCAAATATAGATCATACATTACCAGTGATGTGGGAAGCATCCAGCACCTCATATGCTTTTGAATCATTCTTTGCTCCTCTGACAGTCACTTCTGAACAGCTGCAAATGCACACAGGTTACAGTAAAACCGATGTTTCAAATAAACAAATGACACATTAATTTTCTTAAGTTGTGAGTTTTACTAAAAGCAGTCAATAATTCTTTTTCAAAGAACATATTGAAAGTGTGTTTATACTGAAACTGAAATTCTGTACTGATTGAGACAAAAATTAATGGCTTGGGCACAATGCAAGATGATTCTTAAAAGGTCCCCATTTAAGGTTCAAAAAAACGTAAGCGGAAAATTTCAGTTCCAGTAACCAAGAACTCACTTCCATCTGTGAATATGCCTCTGACTTCACTCAGCTGTCTGCTTACAGAACAAAGTCTTCATTGTTTGATATCCCCTCATACTAGTGAGCCTCTATATTTACAAGCTGCAACATCCTTTCTGTATCTCCCAAAACAAATCATAGAACATCCTGAGTTGGAATAGACCCTCAAAGATCATGAAGTCAAACTCCTGGCCTTGCACAGACAAGCCCAAGAATCACACCATGGCCCTGAGAGCACTGTCCAAAACCAGCTAAGCTTAACACAGCTCTTCTCCTAAAGAGAATGGTATAATAAAACTGTAAAAAGGAACTTCCAGAGGTCCCATCCAACCTCAGCTGTTCTACGGTTCTGTGATCTTCTGGCGGTTTTTGTATTTTAAATCAGAATGCTTCTTTAATGCACCCCCTTCAGCACAGGTCGAGATTTTGAAATTACAAAACTAAGTTGTAAATTTTAGGTTTAAACACACCTTTAAATCTTTCCTTAAGACACTAAAGGTAGCTGAACACAAGTTTTTTGTTGGTTCTTTCCTGTGGAAAGATACCAGACACTTTTTTGTCTCTTTGAATCCTGTAACCTTCATGCAATAAAAAACGTGGCAAAGGCCCAGGTGCAGAGCCTGCCATCCACCTGCAGAGGATGCCTACCAGCAAGGAACTGATGGCCACCAGGAAGCCAGAAAGAAGCCCCTTTGCAGTGTTACACATGAGCAGAGCGCATCTCTGAGCATGGCATCCTACAGACCTATAAGTGTTTGCTGTTAGAGGGTAGAGTGGATTGTTAATCTACACTGAACAAACTGCCACTTCAAAAAATTATTTGCCATGTTTATATTAAAGTCACAGAGGTGCTAACAGAGTAGTCACTAACCTCTGTGCATATCAGAGCACTTGGACACTTTATTACACTGTCAGGAACCCGCCATACAAGCTCAAAGAAATAAATGAACTAACAGGAACTCACTCTAACTGCATAATTCCAATCTGTCAATAACTGATCATAGTCTTTCCTTCTTTCCTTCCATATATGATTAACAATGTTGAACTGAGCATTGTGTCCTTTTAAATGAATACAGAAAGTTTATATGCTCAGATAATGGCCCATTAAAGGCAAACAATTCAAGAGGAAGCTCTTAAACATCCTAGAATTTCTACTAATTACTAAGAGGGCGGTTTCCAAGTGTATACTGCATATGGCAAGTTGTTTGCTCTTCCCCTCCTCCTAAATACACTAGCAAGTGGAAAGGTAGGAAAAATATTAAGATTATATCTCAATTTCGCACCTCAACAACCCTGGAAAAAAACTGTAAGTAAAGTTAAGGAATTACTGTTTTGGCTCTCCAAGCAAGTATTTGCAAGATACAAAGAGTGTCTAAAACAGCCTGCAAACATAACAGAATGGCTTGTGAAAAGGAGACCCAAAACCAAAATGTGTAAATAATAAACTTGTTGGCCAGGACAGCTAGCAAGAAGAAATTATAAATATTTCTTTTTTGAAGATGAATTGCAGGCAAGCACCAAATTTCACAAAAGTTACATTTCCAGTTTTATCTTATGGTGACGTATCAAGAAAAAGGAATTGTTTCCACAGCAGCAGAATCTTAATAATTTAACCATGGCTTAGTTTAACTCAAGTAGGAGTATGTTGATTTCTTATATTGAAATCTACTCCAAAACAAGTTTATTATTTATTGCTGTTATACATTTAAGAGTACTGTTTTATGCATAGACAAGAAAAACCCAACCTACCCAGAAACCTGTTTTCCGAAGTCTCTCCATCCTAAGTGTTTCATACACATACATGTAATCTGGGGGTTTGCCCTATTACTAACGGACCTGCAATTACACAGTGTGTTTCACACTACTTAGAAACTTCACATATATAAAAAACATGTGCAATCTCTAGGAAGAGATAATGAAGTGAAAGCGTCTGAAGTTTAAAACCACACAAAACAGCAAAGGCAGAAGAAAAAACAAAAAAAAAAGATTCCTGGAGCTGGCACCATTCTCACGCCTACAGCAAGACTAGAACCAAGTTTAAAGGGAAAAAAAACCCCGAGTTCAGCTTTTAGTGCTGGACTTTAATCCGCAGTTCATGACCGTAAAACCTTCAGTAACTTGTATTCATAGCCACTGGTAAGAATTCTGCACCACTGAGCAACCTTGAGCTCCCACAATGCTCCTGTTTTACTAAGGAAATCAAAATGCTACAGAACAGAAGCGTTTGGATTTTTTTCCCTTGGGGCTGTTGACAGTAGATTACCCCTGTTATCTACATATAAAAGTCTGAAACTGACAACACATACACATAGAAACCTGGGTCTTCTAAGCATCAGAAATCCAATACAAGTGCTGTCTTGTAAAGAACACAGGAACATTACAGTCCAAACTGCTCCCAGACCTGCAGCACTTCAGCACAGCAGGAATCCTTTACCAAAACTATCTGCAAAGAAAAATTATGAAAGGGAAAGTATGAATATGTAATTTATCAAGCTAACTCACAGTCATGCAATCCCCATTTACAAAGGATTCTCTTACACTTATGACAAAGAAGTCCCACAGCACTGTCTGTGTCAAAAACCTCAGGTGAAGAGGATGTCTGCCTAAGCTTAAGATGGAAAAAAAGGCAGTTTAATGTTCAGCTATGAGCTCTAGAGCACCACAATGAACAACACATGCCAGAAGTCAACTGGACCTCCAACAAATGTATACTGGAAAAGAAAATGGACTACTGGGAAAAGGTTTTTCAGGATGGAAGAGGACACTGGCAATTTTGAAAGAGTTTTAATACAATGATTTTGTTAAATGGTCTGATATCTTTTTAGCCCTCAGTTACCCAGTGAATATATTTCATGAGTTTATTTCTGCTATACATAGCTTCAGAAATGCATTTGCTTTTGAAAAATCATCATTCCCTTCTGTGATAGCAGATTACCCAGAGGAGAGGAAAGAAAGTAGTAAGAGGCAATAGCCTTCCTCCCACTTCCCTAAAACCAGTTTCTTCCTGCACACCACAGCCTAAATGTTCTATGACATCATTTAGGCAGGAAAACCAATAGTCCTTCTCTTGTTAACATGGTAATAATAATTCAAAACAACAACTATTTTCCTCTCCTTTTCTCCAAGCTTAAGAAATTTGTTGGGGATAAAATTAAAAATCTGTACAACCAAGGAATGCTACACAACAAGAAACTGTAAACAATCACACAATGTTTATTAGCACTGATAAAATACTAGATATACCCTAGTTTGCATTTCCTGACTCAGAACAAGAAACAGACAAACCAAAAGCCTAAATTTAAACATGCTTCTACACAGTTAAACCAGCACTAACTGCTGCAGTCATATGCAAAAGTGTATTAATGAATTCACTGGCATGTCTGGATACAATATAAATTAATGTCAAGGCTTTTTAATTAATCAATTTTTCAAATCCCCAACATCACCAGATCACCAACCCAGGACTAGGAAAATTAAGTGTTCCCTTGAAGGACTTGGTTTTTCTCTGCACACATGTTAGCTATGGCATTCCTGCTTGGTTAAAAACAGAAGACAAGTTTGTCTTACCACCATATTATCTGAACACCTGTGATTAAAACACTTTTGTACAGACTTGGCAATGATAGCTTACCAGCTGGACACTGGAAATGGACATTAAGTTACAAGGGAAGAAAAAAGAAAGAACAAATGCACTATTACTTAGACAGCATGCTTCTCCCCAAAGGAAACTAACAGGTTACTATTTTGCAGAGCTGGCATTTCATATAATTTTATTCATAATAAAACAGAAGACATCCCATATAGTCTTATAAGCTGCATTTTTTAAAGAAGGTATTTTTAAGTTTCCTAAAATGTATGCTTTAATCTAATAACAACACTACAAACACAGGAAGTACCTATTGATGAATTCATCTTACTTAAGAAGTGAACTTCTAGTAAAATTAGCCTTAAATAGTACAAAGAAAAAATATTCAGCTAGGAGGAAAAAAAACCCGTTCATACTAAGGACTTTATAAATGGCTTATATTATCTAAAGTGTCTAAACATCCCACATCCACACAGGACTGACGTGATCTGAACACAAATCTTAAAGAAAAAAAAAACCCACAAAGTACTTCTCTTTGACCATTCTATAGCTCATAACACCATGTTACCATCACACTTCCCTGACTTTACATGTTCCTATCCAGACCATGTCGAGGAGACACACAGAAACTTGAGAATAAATGAAATACAGGTAAGAAATCAACATGTGCAAGTTAACAGAAATCTCAGTCAACACAACAAACACTCTTACTCAAGGGTAGGATACCCCTTACTTTCCATTGCACAATTCTTCACAGCCTTTTTTTTCCACCTGGAAATTCCTTCACCTGAGGAAGCTATCACAAAATGGTGATTGGGCTAACTTCCAAAATGGTACTTTCACTCTACACTCAAAATGTTACAGTACTTTTTATTTTCACTGTTTTACCTTAGTGCATTTTTAAAAGTGCAATGCAACTTTTAAGGCATAGTCCTGAAGAAAATCAAGAGTAATAGATGGGAAATTAGGGTGGCATGTTACAATGTAACTGCATTTCCTCAAGCAGAAAGGCCCTAAACATTGCACTGAAAGTGACTTTTTCAAGTATTTACCAAGCAGACTAACATCAGCCCCACGGGGAACATTTTTCCTGGGGCAAGAAGCTGTAAATTCCTGTTCACAGAGCATGGGAAAAAAAATGCCCAACTCCCCAGTATGACTACTTGCACTCAAACTACCACAAGTGTTCTGTGTTCATTATGTTTTGAGTTCTTAGGGCCTCATTAAAATAACTTACTAGAATTACAGAAAAAATCAGGGGTAAAGTGTGCTTGGAAACTACAGATGTGAAAAAGAAACCCCTGAGTTGCTAACACAATGCATCACCAGCAAGATACAACTTCCCTGCCCTCCTCCCTTACAAGAGATGACACGTTACAGACCTCCCCCAGAGTTAGTCACTGCAGCACTGATTAGATGTCATAATCAAAAGAAAATCAAGATACCTTATTGTCATCTTCCAGTATTTTAGGCTGGAAAAGGTCCTGTCTGCCTCAGTAACGTTAAGCAGAGTTGCCAGATGATCCCAATCACAAGAGCAACAACTTAAAACTCTTAAGAGAGGTGTCGTGGGTCTGTGGAGCCCGTTCAAGCAATGAAAAGCAGTAACACTAGCTCTGACTCAGAAAAGGAAAACAGCCAAGTTGAAGACATCCTATAAGACAGTTTATATTTAGACAAAGATAGAGGGATTTGCAAAGTGATGCAATTCCTTAAACATAAGCTCCTCTGTTTGACAGGGGGCAAAATATGATGAAAAAAGAATAACACATTTCTCTAAATAACGGTAAATATTTCCTTGAACTTCAGATTCCATCAGCTGTGGATTATCCATCACAAGTGGATAATGACTACAGCTATTGTAAATTTTACTTTTCCATTAGCAAAGCTGGCTCAAACAGAAAGCGGGGGAGGTGGTGGTGGTCCTTTCACTGGACTGTCAAGGTTACTCTTGAAACATCCTGTTGGAAGGGGACCAGTACATCAGCTTAACGCTTACTGGCCAGTTCTGTGCTGCTCTTCACCACCCGCAGAACCTCCCCAGGACAGTCGACAGGGACTGACCACTGCCGGGCTGCACCAGCGGCTCCAGGCAGCGCTGACTTCGAGGCCGGCATCAGAGCAAAGCCACCCGTGCCGGGGCTGCAGGGCCGGGCCCCCCGCTCGCACAGCCTCCGACGGCGAGGGCTGAAGGGCTGCGCTGCCGGACGCACCGCCCGCCTCGCCCCAGCCGCGCCGCAGACGGCGCTCGGCGGAGCTCCGCGGCTCCGGCAGCGGCCGCCCCCGCTCCCGGGGTGCACACCCGGCTGCCTCGGCCCGGCACCCCCGGCGCGCCCAGGAGGTCCCGGCGCCGTGCCGGGGCGGAGGACGCCACCGCGGAGTTGATCACTAACTCGCTGGCCCGAGTTAGTGATTTCTCTCCCTCCGAGAGCTCCGCCCGCGGGCGCCGCGCAGCCGGCAGCCCCAACGGGGCGAGCGCGGCGCGCCACCGAGGGAGCCGATGGGGACATCGCCCCCGTCCACCCCACGCCACCGCGACCCGCAGCGTGGCGTCTGCGGCTCCCACACCCACCTTTCCGCAGGCTCGACTCGACTCCGCTCTCTCTCCCCTCCCCGCCGCAGCGCCGCGTGCGGTGCGCGGAGACCCGCGCAGAGCGGAGCTCGGTGCGCTCCCCCGCCCTGCCCTGCCGTGCCCCGCGGCGGCGGCCGCGCTGCCAGCGCCGAGGCGTGAGGGCGGCCCCACGTGCGCCGGCTGCGCCAATCGCGGCCGCCCGCGGGCCGCCCACCGCCCCCGCCGCCACCGTCCCGGGCCGCCCGCGAACCGGCGGCACGGCGGGGCGGGCGGGGTGCCGGGGAAAAACGGTGGCAGCGCGGGCAGGAAGCTGGCTTGGGAGGCAGGCGGGGCGGGCGGGATGCCGGGGAAAAACGGTGGCAGCGCGGGCAGGAAGCTGGCTTGGGAGGCAGGAGGAAATAAGCGCGTTGGAGCGGAGTTTGGGATCGCTGAAGGGAGGGAACCCCAAACGCTGCTGCTCGGGGGCTGCGCGCCGCTTCCGCGCCCGCGGAGCCGCCGTGGAGCCGGGCTGGCGGCAGCGGCGCTCCGCGAGAGCGCTCCGCAGGAGAGGCGTGCGCCCGCCGCGGCCGGGAAGCCTCCCGCGGGCCGGGTTCCGCCGCGGCCGGAGTCCCGCCGGAGCCGCTGGGGCAGGCGGAGGCGCCCGGCGCCGGGATCAGGAGTTTAGGCGGGCAAACCTCCAAAATTAACGTATAAAGCGCCCTTTCAGCTCTCTGACGAGTTTTGCAGCGCTGAACGTGCTGGGAACAGAAACACGTTCTCACCTTGGCACAGAAAGCCCGCGGGGCGGGAGTCGGGCTTGGTTCTTCCCAGCGGCCCGCGGAGAGTCTGGGATCGGTCAGGTGTGCGATCGCTGCTCCGGCCCCCAGCGACGTTCCTGAAAGGCATTGTCTCCTGCTAAAGCGTTACACAAATAACAGAGGGCTGTTCCTCCACACTCAGAGGATAAGGCTGGAAACAAATTCTGCTATTGTATTTTCTACGTTGGGTGTCAGTGACGTGTCCAGATCCTGGGCCACACACATTGCTGTGTGTCCACTGTGACAATGCTGGGAATGTAATGCTTGGAAATAATAAGCTGGTTAGTTAGAAAATAATGGTTAGTTAGAAAATAAACATTCACAACTAAGCAAAATATTTTTGTACTTTATTTTACAATGTTTAACGCTGAGTTTTTGTCAATGTCAATTGTAGTTGGTACAACTTCTGTTAGTGAATAGAAATGTAAGTTGACTGTCTCCTCAGGGGATGTGTATTTTCATCCTGTCATTTAATCTAATGGTTGTTGATGCTACATAGTGGCAGTTCGCTACAGCCTCGGTTTTTCAGACCATTACACTCAGCTGTATTGCTGTTCCTTTAGATCTCTCTTAGAAATGCTACGAAATCCATTCAGTGACTCATATTAATTCCAATAAATTTTGCATGGATATCATGGAAATAGGTCAATCTACTTTTGTTGTAGGCAACAGCCTCCTACAAATGTCTTCCTATCTTATATATTAGAAGTTTAACCCCCAGTGGCCTTCAGCTGCTCCTCTGTATTAAAACCAACTTTTGAAAAGGTAGATCCCTCTTTCTCCGTGAGTATGATTGCCAGTAGACTTCAGTGTCTCCAGCATCTGTGAATTTCAGGCCAGATGCACAGCCATGAACAGAAAACAGAGAACAGGCCACAGTTATGAAAGACAAAGTTGGAAACAAGGTTATTTTTTTCTTTTTTTCTGATGAATCTGGGCATTGAGACCTTCAAAAAGTTCATCATGACCTTTTTTTAGAAAGATAAACTTGGGAACATCCAGATAAGTGATCCATTTTTATCTACTATCTAAATACTGAGTAATTTAAAATGTTTTTTTCTAATTTTTCTGCAGCCATACAGACTAGTAATGCTGAAGTTATGATGGGTGTTTAATTGCCTGATAACAGAAACCAAGAGAAAAGCTGAATATGCCTTCATGAACACTAATAATGGTGCTTGTCAGCCCTTCAACCTTTCACAACCTTTCTTCTCTTTTTAGTGTATTTTGATGAGCTTTGGGTTTTGGGAATTTTTTTGTTTAGTTGGAGTTTTTTTGCTTTGCTTTGTTTTGTTTTTAATTTTTTTCCTCTTCTTTTGTTTTCTGTGGTTTTTTTTTTTTCCTCTTGTAGGTTCTTGCAGGCAATGTGTTTTAGGTAGAAATTAGTAGAAACTAAAGTCCAGCTTTTATTCTTGCAACTGCTCAGACTTTTCAAATTTGTCTCATTTTTGCTTCCATTGTCTTTTGCACTGATAATATTTAATTTGGATTACTTGATTGGTGTTGCTAGAAATGCCAAATTGTATTGATGGTCTTGAGTTTATATTTAAGCATATAGCCTGTCATTTCCAGTGACATGTACGCTTGTAAAATGTCTTCTTCAGTGTCCTTGGGCTTGTCAGGCTGAGTGGCATGCTTGGGCTCAGCCATTGTTCTCCTCCTACAGCTGGATAAATTTATTATTAGTTAGACAGATTTAGCATACAAAAACTGTCCAGAAGATTTCAACCTTCATGCCAAACAGGTCTAGGAAAGCAAGTGGGTTTCCACATGGAAGTAGCTGTAAACAACACCAAAAAATGTGTCAGTCAACCATGTAAAATTGAGTGCCTAAGGAGTGCAGTTAGATGCATGAATTCGAAAGGCTAATGCCGCTTGCAGTATTCCAGACTTCTTCACAGAGCTTACCATCTTCATAGTAGAACAGGACATGTGTGTGTCTCTCCTGCCCCAATTTGTAGTCTGTTATCTCGGTACAAACAAACCTCACCTCTAACATAAACATTCCTTGCAGCAATTTCTGGCCAGGAGGCAGAGCTTTAACTGGCAAAGTGATAGTGTTTCAAATAATTTTGAATGATTGTACCAAAGCCCTTCTCTAAGGAGCATAGTGTTTGCAGGAGTGAGATCTGAGAAACAAAGTCAGAGCTTGCCTGTATATCCTGTAATCCTGTGGGATCAGGAGAGTGGTCCAGATTCAGAAAGGTTCCCTTTTCATCAGTTCCACTGGAATAGAGATGAAATAGAGATACTGGTGGTTATCTGTGTGTGAGACTCATCTGAGTATTCAAAAGCAAGCCTTAGCCTTTGCTCCAGGAACACATGAGGCTATTGAAATGGTTTGTGTGCAAGGTACTTAAAACTGCATTTAGATAATAAACTGTTTCTGAGAAACATGACCTCAGAATTAAGACTAAAGAAGTGTTTTGTGGGCCTGGAGAGCAGAAGTCTGACTGCTAGTTATGCAGTTGAACTACCAGAATGTCACTGATAAGCAGCTTGATAAAGGATAACAAGCGAGATACCTACAATTCCTCACAGCACAAACAGTGCAGGACACCTAAGGTCTTATATAGGAAATAATTTTTAAACATATTATTTAAAGATATGTAGCATAAACTGAATGTGCAAGGCTGCTAATGACAAGTGCTGGACCTCATGCTTAGTGCATAGCTAAAGTTATTGAGCAATTTAAGTGCTTTACAGTTGCAAGACAGAGAAAATAGATCATAAGAAAGCGTTTGATACAATTTACTGATGAACTATGTAGAGAGGGGAGCTGTGTCCTGGACTTTAGGATTTCTCAGACTCCAGTGCTGTAGGAGCCAGCACTGGCTTCTCGGTCACCTGCATACACTGACCCCCTAGCTAATTGTTTTAGTCCTCAGATCATAAAACCCCCCCATGGCAAATCTACCGAGTCTGTGGCTAGAAGTAAAGAGAGTCAGGGAGGGTGGTGGCAGGGGCAGTCTAGGCAGCCAGTGTTCCTGTTGCCTAGTGGGAAAGCAGCCAGTCTCGAAGAGTCTAGAGATGGGCCTTTTGAAGAGCTGATGGAGGGAGGGGTAAAACCTTGTGCAGCATAGATAGAAGCAGAAACTACTCATCTGTGACAAATATATACATACTGCAGAACTGCAGCACATCCCCAGTGTGTCATCTGAAGTACCACCACTGTTTTTCTTTTTGCTTCAGAATGAATAAGTTGTATTGTTTCTTCCAATGATGAAAGAATGTGTCCATATGTACAAAAGTAAGTGGACAGATTTGCTTCTGTATTTTTGTCAAATATACCAATAAAATTTTAACATAAAAGGATACTTCCCATGATCCTTGCTGAGTCATATTTTCTTGTAGAAGTCCTCAGTATTAGCAAGTGTTGCTTAACAAAAAGAAATTTAATACAACCCAATCCAGAGAATTAATATGATTTACTACTGCTTGCAAAAAAAAAGCATTATGTATCTATGCACTGCAAAATTGATGTTTATATTAATAGATACAGACTTTTTGGTGATAGTAGGGTCATTTGACAAATTGCTTCTAGCCCTTTCTTACCCATGGAGGGAGCATTCTGGAATTCTGCATTTCTTTCATTGGCAGGTAGCAAAGGAGGCATTCCTTCTCTCTTATCTTCAGGACTGTTCCTTTCCCATATAATAAAAACATATCTCCCCTCAAACACCTTCCTGAAAGTATTCCTTCTATGCAGCTGAAAGAACAGCCACAAGGATTGAGCATAGGAAGCCAGACAGGCTGAGCAAAATACCACGTCAGGATATGGGATATTCCACAGCAGGATCTATGGGACATGTAAAGCAAAAAAGGTTCACTGTGGCCTCTCTTCTTAAGGCACCATAAAATAAGAGCAGGAAGTTTCACTACTCCAATATGTCAATAAAGGAACAGCATGTGGAAAATGCTGTTCTACATTCAAAAGATGGTTTTATCTTTCTTTAAGATAGACAAAATTAGACTAGAAAAAAAAATCACCATTCATTTTTCTGTTCACTCTTTATTCACTGATATCTTCTGGTGTTTATTAATTTCCTGTTTACACTAAAAGCAATACCTCTAACTGCAAACTCAGATCTCCTCTAAGCCTGCCAATCGAAAATTGAAATGTTTAATTAAGTAGGAGCACTGTCCAAAATAAATAACCCTTAATTCAACTTAATTAAGATAACATCAAGATATGCAGAGACATAGATAGATATGTGTATCTATATGTGGAAAATCCAAATCCCTAATTACTGGGATACATTAAAATTGTCCTAGTTCCTGCAATGAAGGTACTGGATTGTGTTGTCAGAACATGCTTGAACCAGTTTAAAAATAACTATGTGAAAATGAGATGAGTAATTGCCTTCATTGACCAGTGATAACTCAGAAGACTTGCAGGCACAGCAAGGCAGAGCAGGGTAAAGGGACACAAGTAAGCCTCAGACATCTTGGAAATGTTTGTGATATTTCCTAAAGTTTTTTTAGAACATGCACTTTTCTGAAAAGATATACAATGTGTTAGGCAGCAGTGGGAGCTTTTAAGGGATTTGATTTTTCCATGCTTATAGGACTGGAAAGATCCTGTCATTTTATTAGATCTGGTTGGCTTAGTCACTAATTACGGGTTTCTTTTGACCAGTCGATAAAATCTGTGCATAATGTTTATGATTATCAGGGGAGTGACATCATGTGCTGCCTGGCCTAGCACAGTATATGACCTAACCACAGAAATTCTACTGTGATTTGTAGGAGGGTATGGGGAATGCAACATAAAATTATATATCATTTGCACAGCATGCCTTACCATTTATCATCACTTAATGGTTAGTATCATAGCCATGTGGACAGTGGTGTTAAATATCATGGGTCTGAGTATGACATCCAAGGACTTTAGAAAGGTTAGAAATATGCTTTCATGACAGTTCATTTAAAAATTTTTAGATTTTACTATTTGCTTTGGAGTCAAGTTTACAGCAATTATTTGAAAAAATTCCCTTCATGGTAAAGGGGAGAAAAAGCAAATAGCACTGCATAATTTACTGTGTTGCCTGTACAAAGCACTCGTGTAATATTTTATCAGCTCTATAGTATTCTTTCCTAAATTATGTCCCAGACTAGATAATGCAAATGAAAGAAACAAGTTTATTTTTCTATTCAACTTGCAGCTGTGAATAAAAAAAAAAGAGAAAAATCTGATAGCTTTGGGAAAGTTTTGTTCTTCTGAAAACCATTACTTTGTGTTATTTCAGTGATTATGAACCCTAATTTTGTTTAATGTGTAAACATATATGGGTTATATTTGAAATATAAAATGGACATGAAATATATTTTCTTCAAATAGGTATTATTTTTTAAATAGTATATTTGCAATAGCTTGATGATAATGAGAGGTAAAGACCATATATGTAGATAACTGAAGATATTTGCCACTATATGCTAGAGAAGGCATTGAAAATAGATTTCTGGAAACTGTAGGTTTTTTATCAATATCGTATGGGTTTCCCAATTGTTTATGAAGATGCAATCTGACTTTTATTTTTGCATACGTAAGTGACAAAATTAAGGTCAAACCACCTTGACTTTCAGTTGGCTTTCAAAGCTCACTGAATGCTTGTGCTTGTGTATGCAATTGCCTGGATTCATAGCTAATAGATACATACATATATAGATGTACGTATATATATACACACACACATATAAACACAAACACTCTGAATTTCAACTAAAGGAAAAAAATTTAAGCAGTCTAACCTTCCATTTAAAGTGTGATTCTATGAGACAATCCAAGCTATAAACACGAATATTTACAGAAAATTGTCAATACAAAGGAATCCATATTTAATAAAACATTGTACCTAAAAAAACAAGCATCTCATATTTCATGTCTGATTACAACTCAGAATTAGAAGAGTAGCCTGTACTTTCTAGTTGTGAGATTGACAGACTTTCTAATATAAGTGGAGCCGTGGATGGGAGGTGTGGATAACATGCTCCAGAGCAGTTGTAGATATTTTGAAGGTGAAAAGAGTGCTTTTAGTGAAAATGCACAGGTAATGACAGGTTAAATTCACCATTCTAGACCAATAAACAGAGTTAGTCCAATTTTTGACAAATGGCGTGCATAATAGTCTGTAAAGTATATTTTACCTTTTCAAGTAAAGCAGTAAAGGCCAGATATGCAAAAAACTGCATCTTAGACTTGAAGAACTATTTTAAATGCATAAAATAATATACAAGAATAAGTAGTGTAAAGTTAGTTATTTTAAAATTGTGGTCATGATTTCAAGGCACCTGGTAGGCTTGAAACTGTACATTTTCTTCTGTAACTTTGGGGTTAAGAGGGGCTTGTTTTCTTAATGAGATTTACTGATGTAACTGTAATAATTTTGCCTCAACTACAGACACATACACATCTGTAACTAAATTCTTGGGCATGAGAGTGATGATACACTCTCAGAACCAAGGGAGAGGTTGCTCAGGGGAGCAGCGGAATAGCCATCACTAGAGTGGGCAAATCTGTCTTTCAAGTGAGCCCTGATTTGGGTCTGAGCATAATTACCTCTGAAGGTCTCAATCTAATAATATTGCATGCTTTTGAATTACACACTGAACTGCAAAAATTTTCACTCACCAATATTTCTCCTTATATTTTATTTTTTTAAGAATCACCAAATTAAAGATAAAAAAATCAGAAAATCAGTATCTGCAGAGCCGTGGATTCAGCATTGGTCAAAAAGTGGAAGAACATAAATCTTTGAGAAGCTTCGAGATCTGGCCAGGCTTTATTCTCTGAACCTCAGATTTGTTTTTCTAATGAGTTTACTTCCAGCAACCAGTCTGAATAAAACACAAGCAGGCAGATACAAAAACTTGTTCCAGAAATAATTGTGCATCATTACTCTTTGAATTGTGTTGGCAATTTTTTTCTAATACAGATTTGTAACATTGAAATAGATTTCCTGGGGTTTTGTCTTTGTTTTTTTATACTGACCTTATGTCTGCCTTTTGTGAAGACATATTAAATTGAAAATAATTTCAAAGTTGTCACAGACTTAATATATCAAGTAGTGTTAAATTCAGGGCTAGATTTGGGTCTGCTTGTGGTAAAATCAGCCACAGGCTCTGTTAAGGCATTTAATACTAAAAGATGTTCACTGTTTGCCAGTTCTAGAGGTTATACTGAAATTTGATTAGACCTAATTTGTGTGGACAGGTTACTTGGATAGGGATTTATGAAAGTAGGAGAACATCAGAGAATGTTTTTTAGAATAATAAGGATTATTATGTAGAAACCCACTTAGAATCTTAAAGCTGTAAGATACATTGCCCAATTATCAACAGTAAATTAAATCTTGTCTTCAGAGGCAGAAAGAGTCAAATCAGAGGTCTTAGGAAGGAAATTAATAAGTTATTTGATGAACTTTTTTTAATGTTTAAATGTCCTACATTTGCATATGTTTCTGTGGGGATGCTGTTTAAGATTGTCCCCTTTGTGTAATAACCACACTTCTCAAGGATTAAGTACGAGTGCCCTGAGACTTTCTGCCACAGATGTGAAAAAGCCATTCACAGGGAAGCCTAAGCAGTGCAAAGCCAGTGCTTCCTATCTGTGTCCCACCAACCCTCGAGGAGCAATAGGGATCACAATCCTTGCTTCAGAGTGGAGAGCCTTGGAGTTCTGTCAGCTCCATCTCCAACTTGAAAAAGGTTCCACTGCATAGGAAAAAAAAAAAAAAAAAAAAAAAAAAGGAAAGAAGCAAGCGTGCACACTTAATAACTTTTGAGTTTCACATTGTATTTAAGATAATCGATTTTCAGCCTGTACGTAACATAGTACTCAGCTTCTTTAACCATTAAAAAATCAGTTAGGTGAAATGGCTCTGTGTACTCTGACAATGAATTAAATGCCCAGTGGATAGTTTTGCACTCATAATTACTTGGTTAATGGCACCATTTCCTCTGGGGACAGATGAAACCATGTCTGTCAAAATAAACAGCTCTGCATGTGTGCAGACACATACATATACATGCACAGAAAGGTAAAGCAATAGATGGTCAGTCTGTTTATTTCTTTCCAAGATGGAATGTGATCAATACTGTGGTTTTGACCCTAAATCTCTTACCAAATAATACAACTGATAACACCATCAGGTTTCTTTAGATACTAAAACTGTTGATCTGTAGCCAATATACAGACATAATCAATCTGGAGAGAGGTTACTGTATTGACAATACTGCATTTGAGGGATTTGAGCATATGTAATGGATAGGTACTTTAAAAATTTATAGTCTTGAGGTTTTAAAATAGAATCCTTTTTCTTAATATTAGAAAATTGGTTTAATTGCACACCCATTTATGGCCAGTAATGTTAACTTCCCAAAAAGGATCATAAACTCTCCAAGTACATGAAATTTGCTTTTCTAGATATTCAAGTAATTTTAAAGTGTGGTTTGTTCTGAAAAGCTTTCATTCTTTGTATAATAGTAACAATAGACTAATTTCCTTTCATTTAATTATTAATGTAAACACTTCTTAGCATAAGTTAAGAAGAACCTCTTTGCACTTTAAGCTTCATCTTGATTAGGCTTTATGTTTAACATTTCTAATAATGACTTATTTTTTTTTAAAAATGGATTCTAAATTATATCTCTTCCCTAACTTTTACTTTCTGCAAACTAAGAGAAGAAAAAAAAATAGTAGAACATCCTCTGTCTATAAAAGAAAGAGATAACTTAATATGAAAACCAAACAAACACTTGAAAAAATTCAGTTCTTAAAGCACATTGAGTACTGTTACCAGAAATATTTCCTGTGAGGCATTTAAACTAATTATATACAAAATACTAGAATTGCCTTTTGTTTGATAATTTGTTAACAAATTCTGTTGTTACTTAACAGAAATAATGATGAAGACATTTAATGGATAAAATCTAGAATTTGTTTCTTACAAAATAATCCCTGTCATGTCCCCAAACATCAAGACCTAGTAGCATATCTCTAACTTGTAGTTAACACTTCATTTTGTTACCTATTCTGCTTTTGAGTCATACTATAATACAGGATAACTTAGAGGAGAAAATCTGTGTAGAAAATAAGATCACTTGAGAAAAACTTACTGTATATAGAATTAATTTCTTTTCCACTGTTAGGCCATTTTGTTGTCATCTGGCACAGAGTCATCATGTGTTTTGCTTCACTGCCATGCTATTTTTAACTTGCATATCTCTGGCAAACAGGATAAATTCTTTCTTTTATGGGCACTTTAAATAAGCAGCTCTAAAAGAAGCTTTCAATGCACCCATCCTATCTAAGTGAAAAAAAAAAAAAAAAAAAGTGAAAATAGTGTGGATATCTGCTGTATTTTTTTTGCTTTTGTATCTAAAGGTAAACTTTTGTTTTTTAAGGTGAAAGAAAAATAAGTGAAATATTCATGTTGTGCAACGTCTGCCTCCTGAGGCTTGATTCCTTCTAAAGGGAAGTGAAGAAAGTAGTCAGGCTAAAAATACCTAAAATAAAATGGGCAGTTGAGGAAGAGAAAACTGTGAAATTATACACTCTTGTTAACATCCAAATGCTGTTTTCTCGTGTTCTATGAATGAGAATGTTACTGCAGCTAACTTGTATTTTTCCATTGCATATCAATGTTGATAATCAGGATGTGCTGGCCCTGCTCTGACATGTGCACTTAGACTTTGCTCTGTTCTTGTAGCTCCCTAACGGAGCTACTTTCAATGGAGTTACTTCTTGTTTCATCTTGTAATCTTCTCAAACTTATTTTCTCCATTTTGCACTCATGAAAGCAAATACTTTGCTTGTGTACCAGTAAAACATCTTTCTATGCCTGGAAAAACTTTTTTTTCAGCTGCTTTTTTTTCATATATATATATATATATATGATTTTAAAACCCCCAACAGTCTTCAACCGTTTACAGTCAGTAAACCAAATTCTTTTCAGCTGCAATCTTTTGTTTGCATGTGTTTAATATTCTTCTGTGCAACAGATACAAGTACTTAAAATGGTAAAGCCTTCTCCCCAAGATAACCGAGTACACTGCAGTAATGCATAGAATGATATACAAAGAACTGCACTGTGTCCTTTTAGAGGTTAATGCAGTTTAAACGAAATAAATTGAAAACGTCTTGGATCTCTTGACAGTTTTCAGAACACATTTGATTTCAAAATACTGATCTGTGATTTTCTATTCTCAGGTGTTAATACTGAGAACTCTGAGTCAGGGAATTTTAGCTAGAAGGAGTGTTTAACATTACAAAAAAACTGAATTAAAGTAGGGAAAAACTTCTAGGAGAGAAAGGATACTGTGAGTACCTAGGGCCATGCATTCCCATGTTGATTTAAAAGGGATCCCTATGCCCTCAGCTCACTAAGTAGTGCAGATTAGGATAGGAGTACGTAGGAGCGCAGAAAAGCTCATACTATGGCATTTACATCTGCACGCTCTGTGGGCATGTGGGAGCTATTCCAGATTGCCTGGTGTTTTTCCTCTGCTTATCTGCATGGAGCACTGAGGAGGCTTTTGGCAGCTGGTTCCTAGGTTCTTCTGTTTCTTAGCTCTGCCCTGCAGAGCCCCTGATAAAGAAAAATAGCCCCTGATAAAGAAACACATCACTATCAGGACACCATTACCTTTCAGCCCAGTAATTTCCAGCGTACTCTCTAGAAACCTTTCTGGTCTGCAACCTGAGAGCAGCTGGGCTTTGGGAATGTGTGTGCAGGCATGGAACAGCTCCCATTTCTCCAAAACTGCAGAGTGGTAGGCAGGGAACAGAGCTAGCAGTGCAGCTGATGCATCTGACTGCCAGATGTCTGTCTCAGAAACACCCAGGCAGCAGCACCCAGTAGTGTCTGGAGCCTGGGGACAATACTGACTGAGTGCTGCAGTGTGGCCATCAGTGAAGGGACAGCTTCCAGCTGAGAGAGTCGATGCCCATGCACATAAATCTGTGCTGAGCTCCCCCTTCAGCTGAGGAGGTAGACAGCTGACATTTCTGGCAATCAGAAAGCCTGCTGTTGAGTATCATCTGACAAAGTAATTCAGGAGGTGGCATTCACCAGTTCAAAAGCTCTTGCCCATCATCTTCGTGAGTGACAGATACAGAAGGGATCATCTTTGTGCTTTCTCACCGCAGTTGTATGTGGGTTATGAACATGATGCTGCCTGTCATGTCTGTTCCTTTTAATTCTCAGTTCTTCACCAATCAGCACCCAGAAGAAGAATAATTTACTCAAAACCTAACAATTCACTCAGACTATAACTGGTCTAACCCAGATGTTCTGGTGTTTTTATAGATGTCCCAAGCTCTCGTGAAGGAATTCTTTTAAAGAGCTAGTCATCCTGACAGTCCAAAGCAAAACAACATTAAAATCAGTCAACATTTATTGCAGTTTCTAATTTCTAAGATGTTAGTTAAGGTGATTCAGTAATTTTTTCTATGACTCTATAATAAAATAAAATTTTTATTTAATATTTATTCAGATTTCATGATGAGTAAAGAGATTTTCAATGCATAAGGATTGGTTAAAAAAATCCAAGATGTTCTATAGCTCTGAGACTGTAATTAGGTTTTTCAAAAACCACAACTGATCAACTAATCGTTGAAAATTCAAAGCAATCTGAACAAAGAGTCTGTTTTGAATTGACCTTTTAGCTATTAAATATTAGAATGAGCTTGTTCCCTAAAGTTAAAATTATTGAAGTACTTTACATAAATGGTACAGATACTGATGTCAATACTTTTGGATAATTACTAGAAGAAATAAGAAAAAAACCCCAAACAACCTTATTGAGTTTTATGTAATTTTTATTTACAGATCTTTGCAAACAGAATATAGCAACAAAGGACCATAGGTGTATTTCCTTAAAAATATACTGCCACTTTGTAGTGTGCACAAAATATTTAAAATAGACAGAGTGAATAGTGTTCAGATATCAAGGTAGGCAGTTATTTTTAGGTGACAACCCCACAGAAGGAGCACATAATATTGAAAAACACTGAAAACTACTCCCAAAAATATATTTTTAGCAATGTCATTTCAAGGGGAAACAACTTAAAATACAAACAAAGAATTCATATTTTTAGCAGCTGGGAATTGACATTTTGTGTTACAACAACTTGTCTAGGATGAAAAATGTATATAGACAATAAATATTATTATGTAATGTGATTTTTAATTTAAAAACATATAAAAAACCATATTTAATGTTATGCTTCTGCTTCTTAGATGCCACATTGCCAGCACTTGCTTCTCATGTGGAGGATAATCGATTCCATTAGAACCTAATTCTGCTGACTGGGCTGAAAAAAAACACTTCCTGATATTATATATGAAAACTCTTTCTCAGATATTTGAAATATGGTTTGTTTAATACAAGAGTGCACATACAAGAGTGCTAAGCCTGTGTTTTGCTTTTTTTTGGGAATGTAGAAATCTGCAAATAAGGTGCAATTGCCTTAAAAACACCCTGTGTCTATAATAGAGAACCTACACTCTCCTAATCTAATGGAGGATGGAGCACAGACTCAGTTTCCAGGGTGAAATAAGTCTAGCAATAGAAACTTTTACACGATACTAAAATCACAAAACAAAAAGTTGAAATTACATACTCAGGTAATGAATAGCACTTTGAATCAGAAGTGTATTTTTAGAACACCTTCATGGGCTATTTTGTCTGACACAAAAGTAATTTCAGTGTGTGGTCATACTTTGAAAATGTTTCTTATGTTTTCTTAGATGACGATAGGGGACTGTGGGGGTTTATTTTTATTTCCAGAAGGAAGTTTAGATGCTGGTCTTTCAGGTAGCTGAGCTCCACATTGCCGATTCAGGTTTCTGAAGGAGCGAGCACTGTTATGCTAGACATACTATTAGGTAGGTAGGAAAGGCTGGGAAATGTAAGTATAGGAAAAGAGGAAAGGAAGGGCCTTCATTTTCTATTCTTGGTCTCAGAAAATCTATTAATTTGCTGTGTTTGTCCTAGTGAGAATGGATAGTGAGCTCTTCACAAGCTCCTTGCTCTCTTGCCATTGTGGAAACTAGCATGGACATCTGACATCAGTGTACCTGAAACAGAGGTGCTTTGAGTGCTTCAATTCCTTAGGCCAGCTGAGTCATCACATGTGTGACTTACTACATGGGAATTTTTCAGTTGTTATGCATTTTTTCATAGTTCCTTCCATGTGAAATCCCTCTCCATATTCTTTCAGAATATTCCCACGTACTCTGCTTCATTTGGAGAAAAATCTGGATGAATTCTTTCCTTAGGAAATTGCTGCCAAATTCAGAGTTGTGTTTTGGCCAGTCTGAAAGTGGGAAAGAGAGAAGAGAGATCTTGAGAAAAACATGAAAAGGTTTGTGGGATTGACAAAGGGACAGAGAAACAGCAGCAAGTTCCCTAGAGCATGTTCTGACACCAGCCTAGGCAACATCTTCATCAAACATTAGAGTCCTTGGATGCATTTTTATCTGAAGCCTACATAGAGGAGATTGCTATTGTGTACAGTTCCAGTTTTGGTGAAAGTTGGAGAAAAAAGGTATGATGGTGATCAAGGCATCTGCGGGGACTGCCTAAAAACTTATTACATGCCAAATATTCCCATATAGGTATAGGATGGAGGCATTCATATCCTGAGACTTGTGCATGCCAGTGAGTTGCTAGATACCAGAAACAGGGGGTTTGCTTCAGCAAGGAGAGGACTGTTTTTCATTCAGCTCCTGTGTGGCTTCTCTGGTGCTTGTAAGGACATCTGGGACTAAAATGGAAAGAGAGTAGAGGGTCATGAGGAGGCCACGAGCCTTTGGGAATACTTCTGCAGAAAGCTGGTATTGTTGTCAGGTGGATGCTACTAACACTGGGGAGATGGACTGATAAACACATTTGAGCCTCAGATAGTTTGGTAGAGTAACACATAGCTATGGAAGAAAAAAATACCACTGATTTTACTGAAACAAATTTCTTCTTAATGCTCCAGGCTATGAACTTGTGGACATTTAGCAATCTCTTCACCACTCTCCCAAACACTCTATGAGTGTTTATAGAATGGCATGGGTGGAGAGTCTGTTCACAGCAATTATCTCCGCTTCAGCAACTAGAACCACAATTCCTCACACTCACTCTAAGTGCTATAATTATCTCTCA